GGGGGACTGGGAGTCCCCCCGCAGGGTGGCACACAGGACCCCTGCCCCAGCTCGCCCCAGCTCCCCTCTCACCCCCCCGCTGTCTGCGGGCAGGGTCCTGCTGCCATCTCCTGGCCACGCTCTGCCCGGCCGAGCGGCGCTGGGGACCGCAGGCCAGGGATGGCGGCATGGGGCCAGGGAAGCCGGGACGGTGGCTCAGCTCCGGCCACGCCATGGGGACAGGACGAAGGACCAGCCCGAAGCTGCCCCAGCTCTTCACCCCCCTCAGCCCGGTCCCCAGGGCCCCCCCTGGCACCACCCACCGGTGATGGTCGCAGCATCGCGGTGTCCACCCGTGGCCGACCCGTGGGATGCGGGGCCGGCATGGGGCAGGGCAGCTGTGGGCGAGTCTGGGCCGGGCCGGAGGTGGCGGGCAGGCGAGCACTGGCCAGGGGGGGTCTCTTGCGGGACCGCGGTGTCCAGTTTGGCTGACGTTACGTGGGAGCGCCGGCTGCCATGGGGAGAAGCACCTTCCTTCCTGGGCCCCTGGAGCAGCGCCGGCGGGCAGCAGAGTCCCTTCTCCAGCCCCTGCCTGCGGAGAAGGAGCTGTTAGGATGATGCTCTGGGGACTGGGGACACATCCCGCACCCCAGCCACACACTCAAGCATCCGCGCGTCCCCTAGCATCTTGCCAGCTGGCCAAACCCCCACCCCGGGGGCAGCATCTGCCAGGCCCGGGGGCTTGCGGAGCCCTGGACAGCATGGCCAGGGCTCAGGCATCCCCACTCCCGGGCCAGCCCGCGGGCTGCTGTGGGGACGGGGGGACTGTGGGGATGGCCAGTGCCCAGGCAGGCCCCAGCTCAGCCTCTGCCTGCTGCTGAACGTGGAGCAGTTTTGTGGATGGCACCGGGTCAGCATAGCTGCTCAGTGCCACCTCTGCAAACACTTGGTGGTGTCTGGATCAGCGCCAGCGCCAGCCAGGTGAGAGAATGCTCCGAAGGGACCGGGCAGGACCCTGCTCCCCCGGGGCTGGCAGCCAGGTCGCTGCCTGTGGGAGCGGGCAGGAGAAGGAGCCGTACAGCTGCTTGGCAGTGGGTATGCGTGGCCGAAGTGCTGGCAGCTCTCACAGGAGCCCTCGGGAGCCCCACCTTGGAGAGCAAAGTTCAGCTGCGATCATCCACCCCATCAGCACCAGGATGCAGAGCGGGGACCTGCTGTGTTGCCCAGGGCAGGGCTGGGCAGCATCCACGGCAATCCCGTCCCAGCCATAAACACATCACGCGACAGGCCATAAAACCAGCGCGTTCCTGCTCTCCTGCCACCTCCAGTGGCCCTGGCTCGGGCTGCAGCCACTGCTGGCACTGTTGCCCCTCTGCCCTGTGGAGCAGGAACCTCCCGCGCGGGCCCCATGCCCCTACCTCCGCCCCTGCTCCCACCTCCGCTGCAGCAGGAGCTGCAGCAGCCCCTCGTGCCTGGGAGCAGGTTCGTGCCAGGGCATTGCTGCCCTCCCTCCCGGCACGTGCTCATGGCTGCTGTCACGTCCGCAGCACCCAGGCGAGGCCACCCTGCACCTCCCTCCAGCGAGGCCGGATCCTCCCCAGCACACGGGACAGGCACGAGGCAGCAGGGACACCCCGAAGCACACCCACAGCCCCATGGCACCGGGACCACCAGACCTAGGTGGCCCAATCCTGCACCTTGCTGCCCAAAGAACAGCTCCCCAGCCCCAAACCCGCAGACCCTCTCCCTCCCCGCTTCTCCCCAGAGAAAGAAGGGGACCCACCGTGCCAAGGTGCCGGGCTGCCGCTGCCCCGCTCCCTGCGCTGCTGCTGGCTCCGGGGAAGGAGCCCGGCCGGTGAGTCAGCGCTCAGCCGGGGCTGCCAGAGCCCTGCGTCTCCTTCTGGCCCAGCTCCTGCACGTACATTAACTCTCCCCACAGGGGACCTTGTTCAGACACGCGTGAGCAGCTCCCATCGCCCCAGGACCTGGGGACTTGCCCCACGGGGCTGGTGGGGAGCTGGGCGAGAGCAGGATGGTGGACCCAGGGCACCAGCCGGCGGTGGTGGGCCAGGAGAAGCAGGGCCCTGGCTCAGCCCGCGCCCGGGTGCACGTGCAGACCTGTGCTTGCTGCTCTCTGCCCTGCCCCAATGCCGTCATGCAGCTCCTGCCCGGGCGCCTCCCTGCCTGCGCAGCCTCGCGGCGGGGCTGGGCTGGACCCGCAGCCCCTTCCCCACCCTGCACCCCGGTGTCGATGCTCAGCAGCAGCTGAGCGGCGCTGGGGCGGCTGGCCTCGCTCCGCGCTATTTTTTCCCCTCAGCTGCTGTGGCAGGAGCCTGGGGCTGGGGCTGGGAAGGGGAGGCTGCAGGAGCCAGGAGCTTCCACAAGTGCCTGGGTCGGGGGGCTGCAGAGCAGCAAGGCCAATGTGTGGGGAGAGGGTGAGGGCAAGGTGGTGGCTCAGTCCTGCTGCTGGGATGGGGGTAACTGCAGTCCTGCCCTGCCCCAGCCCAGGGGACGTCCCCAGAGGGGTCCCGGCAGAGCCCCCTGGGCTGGGGCTGGGAACATCCCTGCTGTTGTGCCGGGAAGGGTACGGACACGGCCAGGCTGCGGCTCCCACAGCCCCGCTGATCCCACCCCGATGCTCAGGCCACCCCAGGAGGCAGCGTCTGCCTGAAGCACCGTTCAGAAATGGGTCTCTCCCTGCACCCGAGGCCGCCGGGGGATGGACTCCTGCCCCAGCAGTTCACCCTGCGTGCTGCCTGGCTTCCCAGCCGGAACGGGCTCCCCAGCCCACATCTCAGCTCCAGCGCCTTCGCTCTGTCGTGACCCCCAACACCCGAGGGCAGGGGTGCCGCAGACCTCGCTGTGACTGACCACACCATGGGTTTTCTGCGCCCAAGGGGCTGAGCCCTCCGTTCCCTTCCCCCTGCAGAAACACCCCCAGCAGCGTCAGCCTCTTCCCGCAGAGCAGGAAAACCCTCCCTGCTCCTGCGCAGGCTTCCTGGTTCAGGCACCCGGCACTGTGGAGCACAGCCGGACCCCAGCCGCTGCCACCAAGCCCCCTCCCCAGCAGCCACTGCTGCGGCCAAGCCATTCCCTGGGACACCCGGGACCCCGTCCTCGCTGCAGGCCCCTGGCCGCTAACACCGAGGGCGTGGGAAATCCCGCCTGGGTGAGGGGCGAAGGCTTCGGCAGCGAAGCGTGGAAATGTATTACGGGTATCAGAGCCCACGACTGGGAGCAGGGCCGTGGGGGGAGCCGAGAGCCGGGAGAAGGGGCGAGACGAGGCAAATTCACTGGGGGGGTCCTGTGACACCCCCAGGGGACAGGCAGGGACCGGCTGGGCATGGCCCAGGGCTCGCCCACTGGGGCTGCCCGGGGACTCGGGGTGCCTGGGGGAAAGCGGGACACTGGGGGGAGCTGGAGGCACAGGGCACCCCATGACAGTGGGGACCCGGTGCACCCCGGAGGGGCGGCGGGATACCAGGAGAGCTGGGGGCTCGGTGCACTGGGGGATGCCGGGGGGCCATAGGTCTCAAAGGAGTGGGGAGTCCCGGCTCTCGGTGCAGGGGGGGTCCCAGGAGACGGCTGGGAGTCCTGGGTCTCGGTGCAGTGCAGGGTCCCAGAGGGTGGCAGGTCTCGGTGCACCGGGGGATGCCAGGGGGTCCCGAGTCTCCGAGCAGCGGGGGGTCCTGGGTCCCGGGGCAGTGGGGGTCCCGGGGCGGCGGGGTGCACTCACCACTGGGCGCTGCTCCCGGCACGGAGGCGGCGGCGGGGCCCTCGTACATCGCTCCCGCAGCCCTGCCGATAACAAAAGCCGCTCCCCGGGCAGGTGCGGAGCACGGCTGGGCATGCCGGGACCTGTAGTCCAGCCCGCCGCCTCCCGGGGTGCCCCCCCGGCCCCTCCCGGGGGATGCAGCTCCTTGGGGACCCTGCAAGCAGCTCCTGGTACAGGTGTCCTCTGATTCCGCTTCCTCCCCAAAATCCTGGCGGTGTCACCCACCCTGGGGGTCTTGGGGTGCTCAGTCCCACCCCAGTGAGGGGACTCCAGGGTGAGTGAGGGGCACATCCCTGACTAGGGCATGGCCGCAGGACCCAGCACCTCCGGGGGCAGATGATTGGATCCGACACCAAGAGCATCCCTGATACCTGCAGTGGGGATGGGTGCCAGCCCCGAGAGGGGCTCCAGACCTGGCACAGCCAAAGCCCCAGCCCAGGGCACACAGGGCTGGAGCCCCATGTCCCACATCCACCCAACACGGATGCTTGGGGTGCAGCAAAGTGCTGGCAACTCTGCTGGGGTCCCTGGGGCCAGGGGTGAGAGTTGGCGCAGGATGGGAGAAGGAGCGCTCCATCCGCTCCTCTGAGTCACCCTGGGGACCCACCCGGCAGGGCAGCACCCATGGAAACGCAGATCTGGGTGCACGAATGCTGCCCCACACTGCACAGCCCAAGCAGCAAGGGCTGGCCTGGCTGGGTCGCCTGGTCCCCCCCCTGCACAGGGGGCTTATTCCCATTGCCTGTCACTGGTCCGCCTCTTGTTCTGGCAGCGGCTGCAGCTGGGCTACCTGGGCCCCCAGCCTCACCCCGCGAGCCGCTCTGGCCCCGCCGCCCCCCGGGACCGCGCTCCG